AATTTTTCGAAATAGTAAATGTAGTATTAGACAAACAATAGGGGTATACTTAGTCAATTAGCTAAACCATAAGGGTAGCTTAAGAAATTTATCCTTTTATTTCATATTTTCTCTTTTTATTTAGGGTTAAATACTTAAAAGTACCCTATGATTTAGCAAATGGACCATAACTTACCCTATTCTTTAAAAAATAATTTAAAAAAGTATTCTTAAGTTTTTTGGCAATGAACAAAATCCTCCCCCACCACTAGCATGCAGTTACAATCCGTTCACATATGATGATGTGATTCATATAATTTTTCTAATTCCAAAATTACCCTTTTATAATTGATTTTGCCCTTCACTGTTTAGTTGTTCTTCAAATTTTCAAAATAAAACCAAATGACAGTTGTTCTTTTTTATCTCCATATCCTCATTTTAGTTCAGGATTGCACTTAGAAATTAGAGTTCATTTACAATGCTCAAAACCACGAATAATCATCGGAATCAATAATACTTGGGAAATTGTCTAAAACTCACCATGAGTTTTCAACATTTCCCTTAAACTCACCATGTCAGTAAGTTTTTATTTTCCAAAACTCACCTTTAGTCAGTGCATTGTTAATGCTTCTTAACAGAGGTGTCCATGTCAGCATAAATAACAATTTTCATGGCCAAATTACCCTTGAATGGCAAGTTAGAGGAGAAATGGTATTTTTCAGTTTTCAATTTTCTTGTTTTTTTTGCATTTTTAGTATTTTGTTTTAATTTCTAGTGTTTTATAATTTCTGTTTTTTTTACATTTCCTATTTTCTACAATCTATAAATTTTCCTGTATTTTTTGTTATTTATTTGTAATTTCTGTGTTTTTCTATAATTTTTGGTGTTTTTTCTACAACTTTTATTTTCTGATTTTGTTTTTCAATTTCTATAGTTTCTATAATTTGAAAATAATTTTTGAATTTTTTCCTTTTTCATGTCTAAATATTAAAATGATAATATATTAACACTCATTAATTTATTTTGTATATATTTTATAGTTAAGGTTAAAATGATAATATATTAACACCTGTTAGTCTGTTTAACGTCAAGTTAATAACATGGTGAGTTTTAGACATTTTGAAAAGTTGTGGTGAGTTTAAGAGAAATGAAGAAAACTCATGTGAATTTTGAACAATTTCCCATAATACTTTCGTAAAGATATCAAGAGATGGTCCAGGTTTAGAGCTATCTCATGAATCTATCAATTCCTAATCTGGAAACTATAGAGACATCTAGTAATAAAGTTGACCCAAGATGAAAAGAAAAACCGTTTTTTTGGGGTCTAATCTATTTACTCGTTGATTGTTATAGGAGTCCTAGCCCAAGATGAAAAGAAAAGAGATACTCATTTGATTTTCTATTGGTTTTTTCTCTAAATTCTACATTGAAAATTTTAGAAAGAAAAAAGCACAATAAATATCTGCCAAATTCACACAAACCCAACTAGAAAAAACAAAATATGAAAGAAGCGATAATGTGAATCTTTGGAGAACATGGTTGGCGAAAAACAGGAAACAAGATAAAAAATACAAAATTCAAAAAAAAATGAAAATCAAGAAAATAGGAAAAATATGCATTATAAAATTAATAAAATGTTGATTTTTTCTGTTAACGATTTGAATGACTCAAACTCTTTCTTCCGCCATTTCTGTATGTACTAGCGGTGACCCATGCAATGCACGGGATGCTGTATTTCTACTTTTTTTATATGCAGAATAGTAGAAAAAATTATTTTCTTTTTTAGTTATTGAACTTTAAGCTTTCCTTTTTATATAGATGATACATTATGAGAAGCACATAAGCCAAGTGATGGTGGCTCACTTGATACCTTATCTAGTTAGTTGTAGCATAGACCTAGGTTGGGGCAACATATTACTTCTCATTGTGTAGCCCTATAAAGCCAAAAATATGCTTAGCATGAGATGAATAACCAAATTAAAAAATAAAAAAGAAAAAAACTATTTTAGAATTGAACTGATGAAGATAACCAAAAACTCGCATTAAGTTCTTTCTTACTACATTTTATTATTGAACCAGAAAAATCTATTAAACAAATCTACATTAAAATAAACAAAGAAAGAAGAAAAATGGAGGGAAAACCTAATAACCCAAGGAAAGGAACAATGATTTGTTTAAATTGGTTCACCCCATGTACTGGTGGGCAAATTTGGGTTTTTAGACACTAATTTGGGTCCAAGCTAAGGTTCATATTTAGGTTTACCCATAACCTAATCCAACCCATCTAATAGGGATGCAAGTGGATCATATTGGATTCAAATCAAGGTATATTTGAATCCGATATGACATTGTTTAGGGGATCGAGATCTGATCCAAAGATCTCATAAATATGAATTTGAATTCGAATCCAATGAGACCGTTGAATCTTCGGATCTGATTTAAAAAAATAAGTTATTAAAAGAAAAATAAAATATAACAATTTAAATAAAGAAACAAAAAAATACAAGTATCTTTTCAATTATTTTGATCATATATATACATGTTTTTTATAAAAAATAAATAATATAATAAAATTACAAATAATCAATAAAAATAATATATATAAATAAATAAATAAATAACATATATGTTATATATATTTATATAAATAAATTAGTGACATATATGTTGGATCGGATCAGATCGGATAGGGGTGATTCGAATCCAATCCTATTTTCTAATCAGGCCCTATTATCCAATCCAATTCGAAGATCTAAACTGGGGAGATCAGAATTCAACAAAATAGAATCACATCGAATCATGATCCGATCCATTTGCACCCCCTACCATCTAATTTACGCCCTACTTTATTAGAAAGAGCCAAAAGGAATTAAGAGATATTTAAGAGGGGATATGCTACAAACATTGACCGTTAAGGGGTGTGTGTGTGTGTGTGTGTGTGTGTGTGTGAGAGAGAGAGAGAGAGAGAGAGAGAGAGAGAGATTAATTAGAGAGTAAATATGGATTTTATGAGAAACAATAAAGACCCATGAGATTTTTAATAATTCCATATAAAAATAAATATGCACATGTGTGAGAAAGGAGAGGGGGAGGAGGTACTTGTGAGCTTTGTGTTGAGAGGACCTTTGCCTCCACTTTTTCTTCTTCTTTTAAAGGCCAAGGCGATAACATTCCTGCAATTCTTTTTGTTTTGTACAACCAATAAAAATTATTAAGGCTGCGTTTGATTGTGGGGGAATCCTCTACGTAAAAGAGAGTCAAATGAAAAAGATGCTTCATCGGTTTAAAATTTTTCTAGATCGTTGGAGGCTTTTTGTTATGAGAATCAAACATTGATTTAAGATGAAAATGTCAATTGAAAAAGTTACATCTTGACAAATGCCTGGAAAAGTGAATTGGGTGTGGAGTTTTACATTGATATGCTTTTACACTGGAAATAAACGCATGTAAATGTCAATAATGGAGTTTTACGTTGATTCGCATTTACACCGCAATCAAACGCAGCCTAAAGAAAATAAAAAAAGTTGCCATTTTATTACATTAATCCAAGTGGTGTTAGACAGAATTAAATGTTGAGGGTGGGAGGAAATAGATTTGATGCAAGGGTGTGAGCTAGAACTCTAGCATAAACAAAGTGCCCATAAATTAACAGAGAAAAATAAAGTAAAAGAGATTAAAAAGAATGGATCTCAAGTTAGATGATGGACGGTGATTGTTTTTTATGTTAACATAAGTGTTTCTAGTAAGATGATGGATGGTGAGGTTGAACCAGGTGGACTATATAGGTGGAGCTTCTTTCCTTAAACTCTCTTAAGAATTTTGAAATTTTCATCAGTTAAGTTTTATTTTAAAAAATTGAAGAAGGCAAATTCGACATTTTACAGGTTGACGTTGCCTATTGTCATAAAACTTAAGATTACTTATTTAATCCTTTTATTTATGGGTTCGGCTATAATATGAAAAAAATATGATATCTGAAAAATAACTAACCAATAAATTGGAATCATAAACGTGATAGCAAATAAGATATTATTTATCAAAATTCATAAATGGGTTTTGATTGGTCAAAACTCTTTTCATATCACTAGTAAATATGTACGTACATTTTCATACGATAGTATCTCTAAGATAAAACTATTTATAATTCATGAATAATTTCTAAACATTTATAAGTTGACAGTTTTTAAAATAAGAATATAAGACATACCCTCTTTATTCCCATTGTATGTTTAGACAAAAAGAATAGAAAACGTCCAATCAAAATTGTAGAAAAAGGRGGCATTCTCTCTTTTATAGATAGTATAAATATCATTCCGCATCATAGATTTCTCCATAAATTTGTAGATTTTGCTTTTGAAGAAATAACTCCTTATTTTCCCTTGTGTTTGGCCTTACACGCTTCACATGCTTTTAGTGATGTATTAAAACGCGGTTGGTTACGTAGTCCGCGTGGTAACTTCGTGTTTGCCTGTTTCGAATCCGGATTTTCTTCTCACAGAATGGTCCTTACACCCACCTCACAGCACTAAACATCCATCCCTCTCCCTCTCCCTCTCCGTGACCGTGAATAAATTAAAAACATATAATCCTGTTTGTAGCTCACTAATTGCCTTCTGGGTTCTGTAATATACCGATCATTCGAAAAAAAAGTTAATATTACCAATCCCGTTGATTTCGGGGGTGTTCCCTTCTGCGATGTTTTTGGTGGAGTGACAGTTATATGTCTAAAAACAAAATCAAACACAGTTGCAAATTCTTCTCCTCATTGACTATTGATTTAATTATTGCATGTAAACGTATTTTTGTGAGCATTTGAAGATAAGTAATTGCAGGTCAGGAAGATCAACCTTTCTATCTATATTGTTGTTGCTGTTATTATTATTATAGCTTTACTTTTTCTGGGTTCCTTTGGGTTTTTATCTTTTGGTATAAATTGTTAGTTTTTTTTTTTTTTAATATTGTTGATTATTGATTCATCTTGCGTTCTTGATTACGGGATCCTTCCCTTCGTACCTGTATGTGATTCTGAATTCTGTCCTTGTGCATTTCTTTAGATGTTTTGATGAAATTTGAAACCTGCAAATTGAATTTTGTTTCTGCTTTCTCTTTCAATTATTTCCGCTTCCTCTCATCCGTTTCTGCCTAATTTATGGCTGAAATGGGTAGGAAATCTCTGAACCTAGGATTTTCGAAGTGCTCGAATTGTTATTTTTGGTGTTCTGCTTGCGGGGGAAGATGGATCTATATAATCGGGGTTTATGGCTGGTCTAACGTGCATAACACTTGTAACCCTTTTACTGATTATTATCCGTGATTCTTCTAGTTTAGCAAACGCTTAGAATTTATCCCGACCCATGATCAATATTTTTCTTTTACATAATACCCGTGATCATTGCTCTGTTCTTCTTCCCCTCTTTTTTTTTTTCTATGAACTTCCTGAGTTGACAGTTACCATATTTGTCGCGTACCATTGTTTATGCTTACTCGAGGTAGACAACTAATTTGCAAGAAGTAATTGGTTTGATTGGCAATGCCAATAGGTCTGTTTATCAATTGATGCATGTTTCCTTTCTAACTTGTCATATGTTACTAAAATGTTTTTATATGTGATAACTTCCATTTAATGGCATTGCTGATACACTACGACCTTTTCTACTTTAAATTTCACCAGGGTGGGCCGCTGTTGTTGATTTAGTCTTGTAAAGAAGCGGTCTGCAGTTGCTAGGTTACATAATGCGGAATTTCAGTGAATGTTCCAGTTCCATGTCAACAAACACTTGCGAGAGTGTCGAGGATGATAGGATGATTGCTCTTGTACTAACAGAAGAATACGCAAAATTAGATGGTGCCATAGGAAGACGCCTCTCTAACTTGGCACATGTGCCTGTAAGCTACTTGGTTACTAAATCTTTGCACCTTGGGTCTTAATCATATGAATACCTTTTTTTTTTTTTCACTTTTAAGACTTCTTCCTATTGTTTTGAACTTATACATCCAAAAGAAATATATATTTTTTATTCTTTCTGCTAAGATCATAAATTGTGCTACTGTTAGTTGTAAGATAATCTAATAGAGGAATGTTTTTGCCAACTCACTGCTCATCCAATGATTATATTGAAATGGCTATTAAAATTTTGAAGTTTATCCATATTGCCCATTAAGGGGATGTTCAGCAACACGGTTGGTTTTATTTTTGAAAACAAAAACAACTGCCATGTCATAAAAATTGTATTTTTTTGCCGACTTGGCAGTTGTTTTGTTTTCAATAACAAAACCAGCCATGTTGTTGAACACCCTCTAAATTGGTCATGATCCAAAAAAACAGATATGCATATTTCCATATATGAATTATATGGCACTGAACAGAGCGGAATGGAGAAATAGGATTCATATAGCTGACCCCATATAGTTAGTACAAGGCTTAAGTGGTGATGATGATGATGAATCATTGCTTAATAACAAATAAACCGTTTCTTCTCATCAATAAATAAACTAATATCTCTGATGATTAGGTTTAGAATTAACTATGGGTCATCTATTGGTAAACAAAGTTAAACATACATCGAGTTATTAAAACATTTCCTGATTTCCATATTATTATTTTTCAAAAAGAAAAGAAATATTACATATGGTCAAAGACCACATTTGTTTTTCTTTCCTAAGCTTTTCCAGTTCATGGTGGATAAGGCAGTTAATCAGAAATTCCTGTGAGTGTGTAGCTGACAATGTGGTTTGTGTCCCAAGGTTGGGAAAGATGTTAATGATTGGCAGACCAATTGCCTAATGATCTTGCTCTACACCCTTGGTGAAATTCCTCCTCAAATTCTAGGGCAGGAAATGGCTCTAGAGAGTTTTCCCAAGATATATTTTCTCAATATCATTCCCGGCCAAATTTTATTTAGAGCTTCACATCCTGGCTAAATTAGCCTTTCTAGCTATGGACTGCTTTCTAGGGTAAGATTCTTACAGTCAACCATCTTGTATCCTACAACTTGCCCATCTAAAATGTCTGTTCTTTGTGCCAGGAGGGAAAAGGGTTGGTTGCTGCTTGCTTCTCATTTTCCTTTTGTCCTGAAAGTGTGATTTTACTTTATTTGTTTTTGGAAGCTTTCATTCTGAGTTAGGCCATTCATGGAGTCTTGATGTGTTGATCCTTTCTTGGCCTATCAGGACTTCATTAGATGGGGCTACATTCTAAAGAACCTTCTTCTTATTGTAATTTGTTGGACAATCCAGTAGATCTGAAATCACATTGCTTTTGAGAAGAAGTGCATGTAAAATATTATTGTTGAAGCTTATAATACTTTGATTATCCATTTGTGCAGCTTGTCTTATATACTGATAAGCTATAATTGTACACTTTGGCAAGTGAGAAGTATTTGTAAGGAGAAAAGGGATAAATCTGTATGTAGGTTTTCAAGACTGCTATTCAGTCTTGATCACTAAGAGATTTCAGGTTCGATGAGAAGAGAAAGTGAAGAAGATGTAGAAGAAAGAGTGATGGAAGAGTAATAGAACACAGATTTTGAGGAGAAGAA